GGGCCGTTTGATGCTGATGGGCTTTGATTTTGGGCTGCATATAATAAACCAATCCACAATTATAATGGATCTTAAAGTTTATATATATTTAAAACGTGTGTGCATATATATGTATGTATGTGACTATGCATATATGTTATATATGTATGTAAATATGTTTATAAATTTTGTATATATATTTGTAAATATGTATATAGATTTTGTGAAAATGTATGTGTATATATATATTATGTTGTATATGTATGTAAATCTATTCGTTGTATATTTATATAAATTGTTATATATTTCATATTTGAAATAGGTTGTCAATTATTGAGCAAACATATTTCACATCTCCATCATTAGCTTTTCAACGTAACTTGAGAGAGTTCCTTTTGATATTTTTATGGTTATCCTAATTTATAGCCCAAGTGAGGGAAAACTTATTGTACACTCAAGACATGTAATTGAATTCAAATATATATAACTTATTATAACACCTATAAATTAAATTGGCAAAATCTTTATTTGGATAAAATTGATTTCAACACTTGTAACATGATATCCTTTGTAAGGCAAGAGAGATGTAGATGTTAACAAGGACATACTAATGGTTATGTTATTGGCTAAAGCTACCACCCTCAAATGCTTATAATTGGGTTCCTTAGGCCGATATAATACAATAGATATTAAGTTTGTACAAGGGTACGAGATGAATTAATAAACCTTTAATTTGAACGAGTTCACAAAGAAGGGTCAATTTTGTTAGAGTATAAGGTACATCGATCTTCAAGTAAAATGGAAATTACAAAACATGGGCTTTTAATGAAACTCACTTTCTTTTCTTTTTCAAAATACGTAAACATGGACTTTCAGTGAAACTGCTTCACTTTTCCATCACATTTTCTAGTGCCACACTTAGTTGAGTCTTATAGAATAGACCTATATTCTTACTAAAACCTCTAATTAAACTTCCATTTAGATTTGATTGAGATTTGTAAATATTATTCGTTTTTAGCTTTAAAAAAGAAACTTCTGTTGAAATCCCCAAAACAAATTACACTTGAAGAACCAAAAAAATCTTGTGCTAATTTCAATAAAATAAATTCCTAAAAATTAAGCTAAAGCCAAGTACAAATGTATAAATTTTCAAGTTTGCCAACTAGCTATGGTATTTGTTAGATCTCTCTAACTACAATGATTCTTTTTAATTAGAAGTGTTAATAGTGTTAATCATTATTCAATAAAGTTAGCTACAGTTATATGAGTTATTGGTCAAGAGGAAGTTTATGATCATCATCTTGTTGCCAATTTAAGGGCAACGCCAACAATAATCATTAATAATGGTAGATAATCAGTGCCTATATTCCTTGAATTTTTTTTGACTAACATGATCTTGTCTCCTTTATGAGTATTATGGTCATCCACATTATAAGTTTTCAATCATTTTTTCTAGAAATTTGTAAAAATGAGTTATTTTTTATATCTAATGCAAAAAGGGTCTTTTGACCCATTTTGACGATAAAAAATTTCAGTTACCCGCTTGACGGATGCCGAGTCCGACAAATAATAAGTTCCAACTACGGCAAATTACAACCAAAATGGTAATAGCGGTAAGTCGGTTCGATTCCACAGAGACTCGGTTTCAACTTATTATAGCCAAACTAATCAAGTTCAAGTTGACTAAATAAAAGTAAATACGAAGGGGGGGGGG